AAGCCCCGACTCCGTGCCCAGGTGAACGGCTCCCCGGGGACTCGCTAGCTTCCAGACATCTCCACCCGATTCTTCTGCACTACCACCCCCCTAGGGATGGGGGTTTGCAGGGATCCAGCGTTCCCAAGAAGCGAGTAAGGGAAGAGAGGGGGGAGGGAGGCCTTGCTATGGTGTTTTGTTTTATTGTGTGTGTTTTCATTGCCCAGGAAAAAGAAGAGCCCCTCAGGAGGACCTTGTGGATCACGGAGGACTGTCTTGGCTGCTCTTTCAGTCCAGAAGAGGATGCGCCCAGCCCCAGGCTCCAGAGCTGTGAATGAGCCCATGCAGGGCGCAGGGCGAGGGCAGGATTTATTCTAGACACGAGCTGAGGACGAGGGGACCGTGCAAGGGGTGGGGCTGCCCTAGAACTCAACTCTCTTCAAGCTGCTTTCCATTGGAAGGGGAGGTGAAATCCACATTTCCCCTTGAAGAAATATTCCTTTCCCGTGCTGGGGGAAGGGAAGATCGGCAGCCCTCTCCTCCTTCCTTCCCCTGAAAGTATTTGTCCTTCCCTCTTTCTGTTGTTCCTTTTTCCTGACATATTGACCTTGCTGTGAAGTGAAGCTTCATCTGTGACAGTTGCTAATGTTCCATTTCGAAACAAGAAAACCTTCATTCTTCTTTGTTTTTTTTTTTAAAAAAAAAAAAAAAGGCTCTTCGCTCCCAGAAACAACCAAAGCTTTTGGTTTTAGGCCAAACTACATAATTGTTGTTACTGTAGAGTCAGAACTAACCCATTGCTGATCCTTCAGCAAGTTTTCAGAGGCAGGAAATCAGACCCGAAGAGATATATGCCCATCTTTCTTCTGCGGAGCAACTGGTTGTTTCGAACCGCGTACCTTTACGTTGGCAGCACAGCTCCTTACCGCTTGGCCTAAACTATATAACAGGTTAAAGCATATCAGAGATCTGAAGGATGGCTGAGGATAGAGCAAGGTTCACATCTATTGTTCACAGAGTTGTGATGAATCAACTCAACTAGTACCGAAAACACACCAGCAGGCAAGCCATTCAGTCCATTTATAACAATAGACCGAAGTACAAATTTTTGAGGGTAATTGGGAAAATGGCTGTGAACGTGGAAATAAGAGGAGCATTACTATCAGTATCATATTAAGACATTAATTAGCAGGTCCATCCCATGTAAAAATAAGGCGCCAGAAGAGCAGGCTTGACTTTTGAATAGGCATCAGGTATGTTAACTTGCAAGTTTTATCTAATCTGTCTAGGAGAAAAAATAAACTAAAAGATAGGATTTTATAGTACGGTAAAACATGAGACAATTTTGTATCAAGCCTAACAAACTAACAGGAGCCTAGGGAATTCTGGTGACCTAGTGGTAAGGCATTGTCCTGCCAGTACAAAGGGAACTGTTCGAATCCACCAACTGCTCCACAGAAGACATATGGGCAATCTTCTTCCTTGTGATTTACTGCCTCTGAAAACCTACTGAACGTCAGCTATGGGTCTCTTCCAGTTTGGTGGTACTTGACAATAACTGAAAGCATGCAGTTAGAAGCTACCAACCCCTTTGCAGGAGAGAGATGGATCCTTCTGTTTCTGCAGTGTACAGCCTTGAAAACCCTAGAGACATTTTCTAGTTTTATCTATAAGGTCACCATACATTGGAATCAACCAAATGGCAGTGAGATTGAGTTACAAAAACAATCCAACACTAATATTCTTTCCAAACACTTTTAAATACTCTCAAATTTTCAACAGGCTCCAGAAGTCAGTATTGCCATTACATATGCTTCCTCATTAGTTGATCTTTCATTGTTGGTCTATAATTTGCATAGTGTCATGTTTAACTTTTATATGACAAATCAAAATAAAGTTCTCAATAAAACACAGTTTTCATCAACATTCTTTGCAACTTTAGTTCTCTCTCCATAAAAGCCTGATATGAACTTTGATTTGAACTCTAAATAGATTCAAACTAAATAGACATAAAATGTTGTTGATGATGATGATTGCCATCAAGTCAAGCACGACTCATAATGATCCTATGAACAAAAGGCCTGAAGCCTTTCTATAACTATTGTCATTTATCAAAACCAAAAAGATTTGGAAATATTAACTCTTTCAATACCTATACTTTATTATACAAAGGCATTCAACTTGTATTATAGCAAATTACAGATAGCATAGCAAAGAATGAGAATTCCAATACTCTAAATTTTCCTCATGCCAAATCTATACATAGATCATATGGTAGCCATTTGAACAGAACTAAGGGATACAGCTTGGTTTAAAATCAGAAAAGGGGAGCATCAATGTCAGTATCATAATCTCACTATAGTTCTTCAATTTGTATGATGAGCAAATAATCCAGAAAGAATACAACATTAGGACTGGAGGAATACTAACCACCAAGATGAGCGAATGATGCAATCTTGCTTACTCAAGGGAAGACAAATTTAAGCATTTCTGATAAAAGACTACAAGTATGTATTAGATCTCAACATATAAGAAGCAAAAAGATCTCACAACTGAAATACTGTTGATAAATAAAAAATTGTTGAATTTGTTAGGAATTTCATTTTACTTGGCTCAACCATAAATGATTCTTCACTTTTCAAAGCATGATGTCCCTCCCCAGGTACTAGCCCCCGCTGATAACAGGTTCAGAGTATCTGGTATGAAAGTCATACCAGCTTTGCCAGTAAGGAGATCTCTGGCGGTACTTCTTCCATGATAAATTTTATTAATTCTTTTGTTAATCCATGGTGTAGTCAATACTCCTTGTGAACACCACAATTCAAAGGCATTAATTCTTCTTCAGTCTTCTTTACTCATTGTCCCACATTTTTTCCCAAGTTCCATATGCATATGAAGCAATTAAAAAGACTATGAATTGAGTCTGATGCACCTTAGTCATGAAAGTGACATCCTTATTTTTTTAACACTTTCAAGACAGTCCTAGCAATAGATTTGCCCAATGATTTCATGGCTGTTACTGTTTCTTGGCTGTTAAATGCGTATCCAAGTAAAAGGAAATATTTGACGATTTTAATCTTTTCTTATTATGGTGTTGGTTAGTGGTCTAGTTGGGAGGATTTTTTTTCTTTATGTTGAGATATAATCCATACATACTACAGACTATACTATTTTAATTTGATCAGTAAGCCTGTCTTCTTCCTTGTTTGCAAACAAGGTTTTATCATCTTCATATTGCAAGTTGTTGATGAGTCTTCCTCTCACCTGATGTCACATTCTTCCTCATATCCAGCTTCTAGAATTGTTTACTCAGGCTACAGGCTGAGTAGGTATGGTGAAAAGATACAACCCTGACATACACATTTTATAAATTTCAAACTATGTAATGTCCCTTTGTTCTGTTCAAATGACTGCTTCTTGTTCTATATACAGGTTCTGCCCAAGAACAATTAGCCTTCTGGAATCCCCATTCTTCTCATGTGTTGTGATCTATATAATTGAATGCCTTTGCCCAATCAATGAAACACAGATAAATGTTTTCTGGTATCCATCTGACATCAATAATGATATCTTTCATTTCATCTGACATCAATAGTGACATCTTTCATTCCATGCCTCTTCTGAATGCAGCTTGACTTTCTGTTGTTCCCTGTTGATATACTGTGCCAGTCATTTTCTGATACTCTTTGGCAAAATTTTACTTGCTTGTGAAGTTAATGATATTGTCCAATAATTTCCACTTTCTGTTGGATCATCTTTCTTTGGAAAGAAGACATATATAGATTTCTTTCAGTCACCTGGCCAAATTGCTGTCTTCGATATGTCTGTCTTTTTTTATGATACCAGTTTATTTACAAAATTCAAATACATTGGTTTTCAAACCAGATTCTTCCAATTTCCCTCACCCTCCCATCAAATTGTACAACCTCATGATTAATCCGCCACCACAAACCACCTGTCCCCAGTGCACATCCTCAAACCTCTGCTTCCGCCCTCCCTGTCTTCTGTATTTCTTGACATAGACAAGTGAGCACATTCAAAGCTGCGTGTATTTGTTATTCTTTTTTATTTGAGGCTGCATGTAGTTTTTAAACACCTTAATTACACTAATAACACTGTCATTATAGAAATATGGTTAATAATTAGTGATTTGAATGTAAACATATATAATACCTGGTGATTAGAGTATAAAAGTTGGAACTGAAGAAAGATTAGCAGCTCAGAAATATATGAACTTGGTAATAGAAATGAAACTAGAGATCCACGTGACTGACTTTTGTGTGGTTAATGACTATTCATTGCATGATTCCAAAGGCAAAATATTGAATGATGAAGGAAGATCAGAAGACAGAAGAAGGAATATACAGTCACTGCGCCAAGAAAAATGTCAGCACTCAATCATTTCGGGAGGTAGATTAAAACCTGATGGTAGTGAAGAATAAGTCCAAGCTGCATTGAAAGCATTGGCAAAACATAAGCTTTCTGGAAACGATGGATATTGATATGTTTCAAAAGTGGATGCAGTGCAAGGTGTACTCAATTGTCAATGATAAGAAATTTTAAAAATCAGAAAACTTTTGGATCTTTACAGCTACAGAGAGCAACCTCACTCTATGCCTCCAGCAGTTTTATTAGCTGTAAAATGGAGATGATAATAATATCTTAGGAAACTGGTGACTTAATGATAAGGAGTTGCACTGTCAATGCAAAGGCTGCTGGTTTTAATCCATCATCTGCTCGAAGGGAGA